GTTCATACACGCATAGGCACGTGATGTAAATGTAAATGTATGCTATTAAAACTGAACATAAACATGTCTTCTAATCTAATTTAATTAATTACTTCAATTTTTTTTAATAATTTAATTTTTTAAAAACAAATATATTTTTAAATTTTACTTTTTTGTGGAGAGTACAGGCTATTTTACTGTCGGGCTTGCTCAACTGTAGCGTTTTCTCTTGTTTTAAATATATATCTACTCTCTCATCGTTCGACTTCATCTATTCTTCATGCATGTGGTGAATTTGGTGGGCTGTTGGCACTACGTTGCCAGACCCATTACCACATATATGGGAGTGGGTATTTAAGAATTGATCTCGCTCGACTCAGTATTCCTTTCTTGTTTTTAGTTATTGTGTAGGGGGTATATAAGAGATGGGCCTACTCCACTCTAGCATTCTATTCTTCTTTTTTACCTTAGGTGAATATTGAAGCAGAAAGGAGAGCGACTGATTCGGGTCAACCAATGTATGTCGCTACATTTTGGTTATTGGTAGCAATGGCAATAACGGCAACAATACCAGTACGTACCCGCAACAACAGCAACTACAGCTAAAGAGAACTTTTTGCTCAAAGTGAGTTTTTTTTTTTAGGCCACTGTGCGTTTTTACATTCCGTTTCAGCTGGCTTGGCTGTATTTATTTTTTCTTCCACCTGCACCCCCGCTCTCTTAGCTCGGCTTAACCCTATTTGCTCTTAGACTTAAGCCGCATGCAACAAAGTGGTGCTTAAAGTTGCGTCCAAGCGCAAAAGTGTTTTCAGCAAGAGAACCCCCAACAACAAACGGGGACTGTTTGTGTGTGTGCTTGTATGAGGCTTATGAAAACTTTACCGAAACACTCCAGTTTTGGGCCCTCGTTTTGTCACAGTATTTAGGTCGGAGCATGCATCCTGTAAAAAAGGCCCAAAGACATTTTATTTTTGTTTGAAATATATTCCTTAAAAGCATCACACGTTATCCAACAATCCTCCTAATCATTGCTGTAAAATATTATTTTTCAATTTGATTAAGTTATTTTAAATCAAACAAGAGAGAACGCTACAGTCGAGCAAGCCCGACAGTAAAATAGCCTGCACTCTCCACAAAAAAAGTAAAATTAAAAAAATATTTGTTTTTTAAAAATTAAATTATTAAAAACAAGAGAGAACGCTACAGTCGAGCAAGCCCGACAGTGTAATACCCTGTACTCTCCACAAAAAAGGAAAATAAAAAAAATTAAATTATTAAAAAAACAAGAGAGAACGCTACAGTCGAGCAAGCCCGACAGTGTAATACCCTGTACCCAGGTAAACTTCCGTCACTGAGTTATATGCGCCCATAGCAGCAACAAAAAGAGGAAGAAGAGCGAACTTGTTGCTGCAGTTTGTGGGGGGTTGTACTGGCGAGAATTTGTTTCGCTAATAACTTTTCTTAGAATTAACCGAATTGAATAAAATTTTATACAACAGTAGACAATTATATATAAATTATGTGTGCAAAGTTTGGTTTAGGTAGCATTTGAAATGTGGACGCTATTGACGAAATTCTGTAGCGGGGGAAGGGGGGGGAAAATTCCAAAAAATAAAATAAACTCGTCCTTACTCGGACCTAGGAGAATCTGGATGCCAACTTTGGTTATTCTAGCTTTTATAGTTTCTGAGATCCTCGCGTTCATCCAGACGGACGGACAGACGGACAGACGGTGAATACGCAGACAATGTATATTTTGGTATTTTCCTCCCTCCCGCCTCTCCTCCGCAAATCTTAACTCCCGTAATTCTTGGAATTTCGAACTAAAATTTTGCAAATACCCTCAGTTAATAATTAATTGTCCGTATGCCAAGTTATAGCCATAAATATATTTGCTGCTGTTGATGTTGCTGTTTGGTTGACTGCTAACATGTTTACACAGACACGAATAGATGCGCATAGGCATATAGTACATACACTCACAGAGACGCAATTGCTATGTAAATGTGCAATTATACACCCTTTACGTGAGCTCGAATACCGAGAAAGGTAAAATCGATCATTGAATTTTTTTTTATTTTCTTAATTTTTTTTAATTTCTATAATTATTGTAAACATATGTACAGAGTATTTCAAAGTCGGGACACCCGACTTTAGCTTTTTTACTTGTTTTTTTGCTTCTGGCAAAAACCTTTGAGCCGGTCCTCGAAAACATAAAGAGCTTTATGGTTCAAATCTGGAATCACTTCACCGCTTGTAACTTATTCACGAAATCGCATCGACAATCAAATCATCCAATCAACGGTAGATTACTTAAGCCATTTTCAATCAACGCGGCACTGTACACATCTACACATTTGAATTACAAATCTCAAACGTCCAATACACGCAATTACAATCGCGAATAGCAAACACACAAAGACGCATATATGAGTAGATCGACAGGCGGACAAACAGACAGACAAGCCAATAGATACCAACTCGTGCGGCCGGAGGACGCGGCAGTGAATATGAAAGGCGAGCTGGGAAACATGCGACGACGAGGCGTATACGCCATGCAACTATTATGGCACAAGCCATCAATCAACTTATCAATATTGCCGAAATGATTGAAGTCAATTGTGAGAAAACAGCATTTTCGATAAGTGTTCAGGGCGGCGGTACGCCCACGCCACTGATTGCCCGAAGGCCTCGACTCTGGCGTGCTTAACCAATTACGAGTTTGCCGTTGTGCGAGAAAATATGCAATCAGCATTTACTTATTTGCACAAACTATTTGCCGATGTACCGATAAGTTTGTACAGCAATATTTTGACGCAGTTAAGAACCATTGTGTATAGACATGGACTATGTGTACTGTTTGTGGCCGTCAAAACAAAATTGTACGTCGCGAATATTTGATAAATTGCAAATAGATATAGCAAAAAAAAAATATTTGTGCAAAGTTTGGATTACACAGTGTATTCATGAAATTCGATAGTGGAAGAAAGGTGTGGTGGAAATAAATAAAAGATCTGGTGCTCATCTTGATTATGGCTACTGTAGACTGGTTCAAACTCTAAAAAATATCTAAAAATGTATTATAAAATCACAAAATGTGTTGCTTATGCCCTAGGGAAATATGTATATAAAAATGGTTAGTTTCTTTACCTTCCGTAATCCTTACATAGACAAATAGATGCCCCGACCGACATGACTATTTAGGCTCATATTGTCATATTAACCATACTGTTTTAGGTAACTCGTAGGGAGTACATTCGCACTAACGTAGCATATATTTTAACTTAAGCTTAGGTCTATATAAAAACTTGGCCTGTTGGGAAACCACTTACTCAATTGAATTTCCGACTGTGACATTTTGCCAAATAATTTTGAATTCTTTCGAAATGATCAACAAACTCTTCGTTGTTGTGGTGATTCCAAAAAAAAAAAAAAGAATGTTGAAACTATTTTTATCATCAAAAGGGGGTTAGAGAGGGGTTATGAGCACGAGATACAATTCGTGTGCAGACTTATGGGGTTTTCCGTAATTTAGTGTTTAGAATTAAATTGAATTTTGTTTCAATACATATTTCTTTCTTAAGCTAACTTATTCTGGCAACATGTTGCGCGAGAGAGAGAGGGAGGGGGTTATGAGCACGAGATACAATTCGTGGGAACAATTTCTGATTTCTTTCCAGGGGGTGTTTTTCAATTTAGTGTGCAGAATCAAATTGAATTTTATTTCTATACATATTTCTTTCTTCTGTGAGAAAATGCCTAATTGTTGCAGCCACTGAGTTGTCAAATGTTTACGGTCGATCTATGTTCGTCGCGATCTAATCTTATTATAATCTAAAATGTAAAGTTACGGTCATTTTCTCTTGTGCCCCATACCTTCATCATAGGAACTTTCGAGTGATTTCGCAATAGCTTATTTTTTTATCAAGATATCTCACAATTCATACTTTGATACTTTTACTTGTATATACATTTCAACAAATACTTTAATTTAAACCAAATCGGCCTACGATATCTTAGCAGGCAACCATACATTTCTAAGCAATTTAGACGGGTTTATTACACTTGTAAGTGGATGTTAGTTTTGGCGCCTGAAGCTGATGGTTTTCATTATATTTTTATACCCTGTACCCAAAGGGTACAAGGAGGCGTGGTAGACCCCACAAAGTATATATATTCTTGATCAGCATGACAAGCCGAGTCGATATAGCCATGTCCGCCTGTCCGTCTGTCTGTCTGTATGAACGCAAGGATCTCAGAAAGTATAAAGCTAGAACAACCAATCTTGGTATACAGATTCTCCTGAGCCCGAGAAAACGACGATTTTGTTCATTTTTCCCAATCCAACCCCCCACTCCCCCCCTATTCAAGATTTTCTATAACTCCCGTAATTCTTGGAATTTTGAACTAAAATTTGGTAGACATATTAAGTTAGTTAGTTAGATTATATATCCGTATACCAAGTTTCATTATGATAGGTTGACCAGAAAGAAAGAAAGTTATAGCCATATAACCAGGCCCAATGCACACATACATGCATGTGTACAAGTACACAAACGCGCATAGACACGATTCTGATGTAAATGTAAATGTATATATGCATGTATGGAATACTTTATATTTAATTAAGTTAATTAATTTAATTTAATTAATTAATTAATAAAATTAATTTAATTTCTTTTTTTGTGGGGTGGTACAGGGTATTTAAGAGTTGAGCCTGCTCGACTTTAGCATTCCTTTCTTTTGGGTATTGAATGCACTATAATTAGAGTGCCGTGCCACCTCATCTTAAAATTCTTGAAGAACTAGAGTTCTTTATTTTGACTAAAGTTGATGAAAAAAATAAAATGACGCACAATTTGAATCACAGCTTCAACGGACTTGAAAAACTTTTTGATGTGAAAATGGCAGGTAGTAACCCAATGTGCTCATATAAAAGCCTCCACGAGCTCTAAACCATTTCCAGTTGAACGAAATCGGTGACTATGTTACTTTTGTGGTGCGAATGGCTTACTGTTCTGCTGTTGCTGCTTCATGATTATTGCACAGCGCGCCATGCCAAAAAGCTGCACAAGTACTCGAAAAAACTCGTTCACCATCCCAATAACCAACTACTGCCAATGGTTATCAACACGTGGAACTACACGAAGCCCAACTTGCACGCCTGGCATGTCCTTAACGCCAAACCCGGGGGCCTGAACCTCACGCGGGAGGCTGTGGTGCAGGGATGTTCGATGTGCGAACACCAGCAGTGCGGTCGCCTACTTGGACGCGGATCCGCACCCGATGCTTCTGGGCACATTACGCTGGAGGCAGCACTGATGGACGGGAGCAACCTACGCTTGGGTTCGGTGGCAGCCATGCCAGACATTCGCGATGCCATTGGAGTTGCTCGCCAGGTGCTGGAGCATACGAAGCATACTTTGCTGGCTGGTGCGGGGGCTACACGTTTTGCAAAGGCTTTAGGTCACACAGCCGAGCGCCTAAGCTCGCCGGTCACCGTTGATGCACTGTATCGTTGGCAACACGATCGCTGCCAGCCCAACTACTGGCAAAATGTCCGGCCTCCGCCATTTTCCAGCTGTGGGCCCTACATGCGAGTGCCGCAACCCAAAACGGGCGCATATAGTTGGCCTCGACAGGAGTACCCAATAGAGATAGGACATCATGATCAAATTGCTATGTTGGCCATCGATGCAAAGGGTCACATGCACGTGGGAAGTACTTCGACTGGCTCAGCCTTTCGCATTGCTGGTCGAGCCGGCGACTCCGCTGTACCCGGTGCGGGAATCTATGCAGACAATGAAGTGGGCGCAGCTTTGGTCAGTGGCGATGGTGATGTAATGATGCGACTTCTGCCTGCTTTGTTGGCGGTGGAGACGCTTCGAGCTGGTCGCAAGCCCTCCGACACGGCAGTTCATGTTCTGCATCGCCTGCTACACCATCACACCGAGTTCAATGGTGGCCTTGTGGTGGTAAACCGCCTGGGCCAGTATGCAGCTGCTTGTTCGGGCCTCGACGAGTTCCACTTTGTAGTGAGCCATCAAAAGAATCAAACATTGGCGAGAGTGGAGCGCGTCGAGTGCATTGATCGGCGCGAATTTGTAGACGGGGGACCCAAGGGGACCTTTAAGTCCAAAGCCACCAGTGGGCACACAAATTTAAGCTGAGGGTCACAAATACTAAGAAATTGGTTTTCCCAACCAAACTGTCGCGATTTCCGAATTAAAAACCTTTGTTGTTTGTAAATATTTCCGAGTCGATTCATTGGCGCCTTTTCATGTCCTCGTTGCTTCTGTTGTCTTTGTTTACATTTATCTGAAACATCTCGTGCACCCAATCAGCTCGAGCTCAGCTCACACACACACATTTTAAGTTCCATTATGTCATTGTCTTTAACATTATCCGCATTGCCATTCTCATGAACAATGACTCCCCCCTCGCCATCTCTTTGGGTCGCGCGAGCATTGCAAGAGCAATCCCTCCCAGCGGTACAATAAAGTTACAATTTTTATAACGATTTCAGTTTTTTGCCTGCCCCTTTTATGACCGTTTTTTGTTCTCTTTTTTGTGCTATCCTCAATTCATCTGTTTTGCATATTCTTTGTTATGCTTCATTTTCTCGCGCTCTCTTTTTTGTTTGAGATTTGCTTACGTAATCTCCGTTAGCGTTGTGAGCGAGTCATAACGTCTGTTGACTATAAAGGGAAAGAAAAAGCCGTAAATATATGCAAATAAGTTGTGCTTTAATTTCTCCAAGTGAACTTTTAATTGACTTTCGAATTAAAGCTGTGTGCATTGCTTTCAGCTCTAACAACGTGATAGCAAAGCAATACATACAGAAACAACTTATACTTCTAAACTAATTCATTTATTAACTATGTACATATATTTTAGGAACTATCGAACTATGCCCGACTTAGCCAAATTTATGTTTGAAAATGCTTCAAAATTGAACTTCAAACCTCACATCTGTAAGACTAAATAAGGATAGGGGTGCAGTTGGACTTAAACACATCTCTATTACCCCCCCTATTAGAGATAGAGACACCAAATTTTGCACAAAGAAGCGTTATGTGTGTATTCTATACGAGTTTGTTTTATTTTTTTGATTTTCCCCCCCCACTTCCCCCCTATGGGGGTTTTCCCGATTTTCCATTCGTATAATCGCCTATATCTCGGAGACTATAGGACCTAGGCACACCAAATTTTAGTCCCAGATGCCTTATGTGAATACGCAGAAAATTTATATTTTGGAATTCCCCTCCCTCCCCCCTCTACCCCGCAAATCGTAACTCCCGTAATTCTTAGAATTTCGAACTAAAATTTTGGAAATAACCCCAGTTGGTTATTATGTGTCCGTATGCCAAATTTCATTATGATAGACCGATTTAACAAGAAGTTATAGCCATAAATATATTTGCTGATGCAGCGCTGCTGCAGCGCTGCTCAAGCGCTGCCCGCGGCTGTTGTTGATGTTGCTGTTTGGTTGACTGCGAAAATGCTTACACAGACACGAATAGATGCGCATAGGCATACATACACTCACACAGACGCAATTGCTATGTAAATGTGCAATTATACACCCTTTACGTGAGTTCGAATACCGAGAGAGGTAAAATCGATCAAATTTTTTTTTTATTTATTTTTTTTTGTATTTTCTATAATTATTGTAAACATATGTACAGAGTATTTCAAAGTCGGGACACCCGACTTTAGCTTTTTTACTTGTTTCTTTATAATACTGTAGCCACAATGAATAGCTGCAAAAAAATCATATTTACTGTTTAGCACAGGAATTTTTACACATTTTAACACATTAACACATACACTGGAATTCTCGTTCTTCATATCTACCCGTATTTAATTTGTTCAGGCTAGTCCTCAGTTTTCATAAGATTATTAAAAGTCTTTACTGTTTTTTCATGGTTCTTTGATACTTATTACGGCCTTCAAGTCCTAATTGTAATTGTTGCTTTTATTTGTAAATCTCACAACACCTGCATCTAATAAATATATTTGACAGTAATATGTTGTGTCATTTACCTGAAATACAGTAGTAGTATGTGTAAACGGAAACGCACGGAGGAATGAGCTAAAATAAATATCTTAACTAAACACTTAGAACTTTTGAACTGTAATAGCTGGTGACACAAAACTTGGTATGTCTTTGCAGGATAACAGTTGGATTTAATAAGATATCTTACGAGAATCTGACATTTATGAGTTCTATTTGGTGGCTCTTGATATTTTGAAATTTCATCAAAATGCACAAAGTTGCTAAAAACTTTTAACTTTCGTCCGATTTTGATCTACATATACATATAAGGTGCGTGTTAAAGTAAACAGGTCTTTTATCAATAAGAATCAATATATTTGATTCAATTCACTTCATGTTGAACAAGTGTTTTAGCTCGCTGGCAGGCTTAGATGTCCACATAGCGCTTTCTTTTAGTCGATGAATGCATTTTCCTATCTGGCGATTTCGGGGAATGCGATTAGTCACAAGTGTCGACCAATTTTGTTATCAGTCAACTTGTGCGCAAAAAAGAAAGAACCTGAAACAATTACTCTATTAAAATGCGATGAATCATTGATTTGACTTCTATTTTAATTGTTTTCATCAAAGAAATTTTAAAAACTCACGCAATTTTTTGTTCGAAAACTTCGGTAATCCCGAATTATGAATGGTCAACCTCAAAATCCAAACTGTCACGATCATTCTTGATTCGCATAGACCGCTCATGGACTCTGTCCCGAGATATGCAAATATCACCATAAACTTTTTTATCAATTGAAACTTTATTGAAAAAATTGTACCAAATTTACAAACGAACTCAATTTTTGTTCTTTGTTTGATGCTCATTTCCGATGACGCAATAACTGTGTTTCTAGTGGAGCATATGTCATTAAATTTTAATTGTAAATTTTAATTCTAACGAAGCAGTCACTTACAGAAGAGCCTATCAAAAAACCCCTGTTTACTTTGTTCTATATTTTTAAGCCTCCTCGTTTTTCCTCACGATCATTGAGCATCATCCTTGGACAAAAAAATCTATTTCCAAAAACTTACACAAACCGCTGTAAAAGCCGTAAAGGGCATCCTTTTTAATATGTAAATTCAAATTCTGAAAGTATAATTCAATAGCTTATCAATAGATCTAATTTAAACCTTTATGTGCTGATACAATAGGTTTCGCCAGTGCATGAACTGGCGTCCATGCTGATGTCAAAATTAAAGTTCAATGTGGAATAAACATTTACCCCAAGGTCTTCTATTATTAAATAACTTTCTAATGAATCGCAATCAACCGCAAAACACAGATCAAGATTATTAAAAATAAATTGTCATTATTTTATAGCAGAGCTTGTATTTGGTTATAATATTTTTATGTTCCCTTCCCACAAAAAAATTCTATAGAGACTAACTGTCTTTGCTAGGAACCAGAAACTAAGTATTATTCGTATGAACATACATACATATAAACAAATGCATTCATTTATATACATATATTCATATGTACATTTTGTACATAACTACTTGTATGTATAGAAACAAAAGATTACATAGGAGAATATAATGCGAACGTTAGATAGAATATGATAGATCACGCAAACGGCAGATTTCTGGACAAACCGCGCACCGCACTCCCTCGTTTCTATAAAATCGAAAAAGATTTAAGGAACCGGAAAATATCTGCGTGTGATTCGAGAGTGACGCAATGAGGAATTATATATTGTATATCAAATTGAAATAGATTAAAGTGCTAGAGAGTCGAGCGGGCCCAACTCGTAAATACCCTTTGTACACTCCCACAAATGTAAACAAAAGATGTTAATTAAAGATGAATTTTTAATGAATTGATATAATGAAAATAATAATGCATATATTTATGTACCGTTCAAATAGCATAAATTTACATCGGGATTCAATTTAAATATGTCTATAAATATGCCTATTTATGGCTATAACTTTCTTTAGAGTTAAAATAATCAAATGTGGATTTACAGTTCCAAGAATTACGGGAGTTGTAGAGTGGAAGGTTTGAAAAGGGGCTTAGCCGATCCATATTTTTAAAGGTGGCAGAATATTTTCCGAATGCTATACGAGTAGTTATAAAACCCTAATGGGCTGGGGAAGCACAATTAGGGAAATAAATGAATTTCTATCTACTTATATTAACAGCGAATTCCCCATGATATCAATGTTATTATGAAATTACTTCAAATCATATTAAATCGGCACCCTATAACAAGTTCAAAACGATTTGTTTATAATACATACTATTCAACAAGCGTGTTCCTCATAACTTTCGGGAAATGGATCCTTAATGGTAAATTGGCTTCGAAGCAGAATGCGTATCACTATGTTTCTACTGAGATCTTAATCACGATTCCATTTGCTCTTGGAAACTATAAAAGCTTGAATCATAAATTCAGAATTGTAAATGTGATTTGTGATCTACAATCATATCAATCTTATTCATTATCGACCTAACAGTTAGAAACATAGAAATCTATTTTTAAACACTAGAGGTATAAATGCTTCCTCTGAAAACGTAATTGTTTGGATTACAGAAACACCTAATTTTTAGTAATAGTAAAACCCTTACACACAGTAAAGGAAATAGCATAGTTGAGTGTATTCCACTGCACAACCTGCTCATCTGGGTCAGTAGTTGAAAACTAATTGTGAATTGACTCGATTTCGATGATAAAGCCACCACGTGTATTCTATAAATTAAAGCAAACACTTCTTGTCCACCTTGCCTAAAGTCATAAACTGTGTAGCAATTCATTTGAAGCGATAAGGCTGATAAAGCTCAAATAATTTGAACAATAAAATTCGATTGGCTGGGCAATGGCCGAATATTATGAATCACGGGAAAATAAAACCACCCTTTGGCGAAATTAACGATCGAAAAATGCTCGTGAAACACCGAATAAAGCACTATTTGATCAAATCTAGAAATACGACACGGCACAACAAATAGGTAATTGGTTGCGATACGAAATAATAAATAAATATAATAATGAAAAATGTTAACAATGTGATTCACGTAAATATTTACTTCAGATAAGCTCCAGCGAAAATGTTACCCAACCTCAAGTAGCCACTACACTGGCATGTACTCGAAAGGTGTTCCAACAAATCGTTGTAATGCAAAATGTGACTTATCAGCAGGCGGAACATCTCGAGATTCGTCCCTCAAGTATTATACTAATGGTGCGATTGTTTTCAAGTGTGGGACAATTAAATGGAAGGCGATGTTTAATGCACATGAAACGGAAAAGTTTCAGTTCAACACCGAACAGCCAAAGAGAAACATCAATATGCTGCGCATCGAAATTCACCTCCTGGCTTTGGGACTTCTGGGCTATCAGGTGCTTGGGTTGGAGGCAGCCCAGTCCCTTCAATGCTACAGCTGTGAGGGTATCAACTGCCAGCGCACAACACGTCTCAATGCCACGACCACTTGCAGCGATCAATTGGACCTATGTGTAACTGTCTACGATGGCTGTAAGTAGTTCAAGCAGTGGGTACAACCATTAGAAACGAATATTAATATTTTCATTTAAGTTGCTGTTAGGGAACGTGGATGTCTTCTGCATCTTTCGGTCGAATCGCGTGCCAAATGTGGGAATGCGGACGCCAAGGAGTGCCAGAAGTGCAGTGGCAGTCTGTGCAACGACAAAGGACGCGTCGATTTCAGATGCGTACAGTGCAAGGGGAGTGAGGTAAGCTGTAGACATCCAGCTACACATCAAGATCATACTAACTGTAAGCGCTCTTTAGAACGCACAGTGCAACACGGCGGCAAGCACCCTAACACCGGAGCCTTGTGAAGTGCCAACTTCTCCGAATTCCTATTGCTATATCCGACAAACGTCAGACGTGGATGTCCAGCGCGGCTGTTCTGTAAAAGTTAAGGACCAGGTGGATTGTCTTGCCGACTCCAAATGCTCCTTGTGCTTATCAGAGGATGGACTGGGGTCTGGGGCTTGCAATTCCTACGACCTCGACCTTGTACGATCGGGTGCGGCTGCTCCTCAGATTCTGCTGAGCTTTGTTGGAGTTCTGGCCGTGGTGGCTATCAAATTTTTTAATTAGATTAAAATAATATTAACGCTTAATAATAAAATCGTGTTTGTTGGGCAATTTGAGGGGTAATTGTTGTACTGTACTCTTCGACTTAGCACACTTATCAGAATTTCGTGAAATCGTTTCACTCAACAAAATCATGATTGGTTTATCAAATCTGGACAAATCACTCACATATCAAGTGCCTCCTGGGGCATTGCACTTCATTGCAATCGCGGATCGGTGAATGACTGCAGGTGACAAGATCTTATAACATTCATGGTCATCATTACGTAAAAGTTCCGTCCACCGGTCGAAACGAATGTCTGAATTTTCTACTATAAATCGAACCACTACAGAATGTCGTTGATATTGTACCCAATTCCCCATATAAATAAATTAAGCTTTGCTACATTTTTATTTCTATTTTTCTAAATCAGTAATTTATAAGAAAAGGATTTACGGAAACAAACGTAACGCGCGTATTACAACGGATTTAAGACAGTGACGAAAGTTTGTTTGAGTACAGGAAGGGTATTTTAATATTTAATTGCTCGACAGTAACATTCTTTCTCATGAGTAAGCTGAGCAATTTCACATCGTAAGACTGTAAATTAGTATTTTTCTACCCATTTCCTTTATAATTAAGTTTATAATAATTAAAGGGGTATTATATGTTTTATTTTAGTAATTATCTCTGAATTAATTTGTATAAATGTATTAATATATTAATGTAAACGTTTATATAGATATGTTGAATTCATCTGCCGTTAAAGAAATATATTTAAGGTGCATAGCCAGACGCGAATCCTGAACATCTTATCAAATGCTGGAATGTCGATTACGTATACCTGTATATATATATATAATATATATATAATTTGCTGAATATTTTCTGATTTATCCTATATAGGAGAGAAGTACCGTCCACTATCTACGGTCTACATACTCGTATGGTTGCAGAAATTGCAAGTTTTGGTGCAACTTCACAACATTCCAGAAACATATAGTGTACACAAATACTTAATATTTAAAATATCCGAATATAACTTTTATATAAAAGACTTTTCTTTCGATGTACATAGTAAGTTTCTTAAACAAAAGTTAACAACGTTTACCAGGGACTGCAATCATTACAAGTGTTTTTAAAAAAATGACAAATTAATGATTATTCGCGGTCCCTGATATTTACAACATACTCGTACATAACAGTTCACATAATTGCTTAATGACTGACTAGAATGGTCCTGCAGCAGCCGAAGAAGAAATAATCGAATTTCACGATCGGTCTACCAAATATAAAGCTTAAAATTAAGTACAAGTATAATTTAAGTGCAGCGTGCATACATCGTGGATTGCCCCTCATGGCTTCTAAGTATTTTTTAAACTTAAATTATAAGGTAAGGTGCACTTTCAGTGGGATTCTGTTTCAGATTCCGAATAGCTGTTGGAACGAACATGCATTGGAAATTCATTGTATCGTTCACTCCTAAGCAGTTACATCTTTGTTGGTACTCTATTGGAATTACTACTCAATGGAGCGGTTCAGGCTACTTGGTTCTGAACAAGGTGGTTTCTTTTTTTCAGTGTCCCCTTTATCGACTAAATAGATCATATTTTATTAACTGTAAATACATACATATACGTGTATATAGAATAATATCAGCCACTTGCGAAATGACCACCGCAGCGGCAGAACAGTTTCTCTTAAGAGCTGCCACTTACAAACCTCTTGTGAAGTACACTGTAGCGTATATTTGGGGTTCGATGGTCTATAAAACGCTACACAATCGCCGAGCAATAAACAGTCGTGTCTGAAACATGAGACCAGCAATAACCAAAAACTATCACAGCACACTGTTGCTCCTGCTACTCTCCTCTGGAGTAGGACTGATCCAGGCAAATACTCTAAACAGCTGCTATAGCTGCAATGGCATCAGCTGCCAGCGAACCTCACTGCTGAAGGAGATTCAGTGCCAAGATTTGCTAGACTACTGTGTGACCATCTTTGATGGCTGTAAGTGCTAATTTATCAAAGTATGAAGATGCAAGATGTTCTAATCGCCCTGATTACAGCCGAGGTGTTATACAAAGGTTGTTCCTTAGAAATCCCGACTGAACTGCGAAGTCGCTGCGATTCTGCTGGCTCTGGAACCTGCACCAAATGTAATACCAATCGGTGTAATAACATAGGCTCGCCAGAGTTCGCCTGCCTGCAGTGTGATTCTAGCAAGGTATGCATACTCGCATAACAATTCAATAAAGCCATCATGCAACGGTTTTTAATTTCTTATCCCAAGGATACCAACTGCGCAGAGAACGCCGCCGTCCTGGATCCCCAGCCCTGTGGGGCCCCAACAGCGCCCAATTCCTATTGCTTTGTGAAACAGTCGGATGTCGTGCAACGCGGCTGTGCAACAACAGTGGCAGATCAGCAGAAGTGCCTGGCAGATGAAAATTGCTCGCTCTGCTCGCCCTCTGATGTCAAACGCTGTAATAGCATAAGCGTTGCAGTCAAGAGCAAGCGATTTCCTAGATTTCTGTAATAGATATCTAAACCATTCTATGTGTCTCAATAAAGTGATAATAATTGGACAGTAAAAACAGCATTGTTAAAATATTCCAATTGTTAGACATACTATTTATCTAATAATAATTAACCAATGTATCGGAGGTGGTTTTTCTTATTTTGCGTATATTTTTGGCGCGACTGACAGTACACCCAAGCCAATACCTTGATAGATACAGCATTGGTATCCACACACCCAACCAAATAAATTAATGATCAGTTATCTTGAAAATGAAAGAAAAAGAAATACTTTCAAGACACCCTTATTGAGTGTGTGAGCTCTGCCAGTGGTGATGACAACCTTAATAAAATGAATGAATCTGTGATTAGGATAAAGGAAATAAAGACAAAGTTAATTGGCAAAAAACAGACCACTTTACTTTTTTCCTAACCGGAATCACACAAAGATTCTACTCTATATCTTTTCAGTTACTCTCAGTACAATCAATTAGATATAGTCCATTTTTGGGCTCCACTTAAGCCATATTCGTATTTTATAAGCAAAACATGAAAATAAAATTATTCAATGAGTCTGTGTCGTATGTAAATATCATTGTAATTTAAATGCGATTTGTAAGTATGTTTGTATGTATGTTCCGCGATTTGATTTGCAAATATTTATGTAAATGGTGGAGGGGGCCTCTCCAACCTCTGGTGTCTTATTTACATACATACATACTATGTAACCTTAATAAAAAGGTAAAACAGACTGGAAGCAGTGCTCGCTATAATGTCTTGTATTAATACTCTACGACGAGTTAATAAGCATTAAATATAACTGCACGATTACATTACATATAGTATACATACTATACACATATGATCAAAATGTAGGTTAGAAAGCAGGAAAATTTTTACCACATTTGTCGACATATTTGACAACATTTGTGGAAAAGTTTGTATGGTGTTATTGTTATTGAAGTATTTGTCATTAAATAACATATTAACGCCAGAAAAGACTGCTTATCAGATCTGCTAATCATTGCATTAGTACTTCACAGTATAAAATAAAACAACACTTCTGTATACAAGAATGCTTGAGGAGTGACTAAAGTTTATATAAAGGGGGGCTGACCAGAACCCTTCACATCATAAAAGCTCCAATGCCAGCGGCAAGCAAGTTTTCAATAGTGACAGTTTTCTTGCTGTTACTCCCGCAGGATTTCGTCCTGGCTGCACGGACATGCTATCAGTGCAGAGATATAAACTGTCAGCGTACCAGCTATGAGCGATTGGAGGAGTGTGTCCACGACTTAGATGAGTGTGTGAGTGTTTTTTACAACGGCATTGTGCAGGCGCAAGGCTGTCTGAGCACACTGGAGGAGCAATGGTTGAAGCTATGCCACGACCAGGATAGTCCTCATCAGGAATGTAATATTTGTGTGGATAATAAGTGCAATAACTTGGCCTCAAAAGGGGCGTCTTGTCTGCAGTGCAGCGAGAGTGAGGTGAGTACTTAAGAGACTGTTCCGCAAATGCTCAATGGCTGGTTTCTCTACGCAGGATGAACGCTGTCGCTCGGACCCAACACAACTGGAGCCTCAAATCTGCCCAGTTGCACGTAGTGGCCGCAACTTTTGCTATGTGGGCCTGGATGATGCGGAGCATTTGGTTAGAGGCTGCGTCACGCTTTTGACAGAACAGGCTGACTGCCTCGCTAGGGCCGACTGCGAGCTATGTGACCCACTAGAAATTGCGCACTGTAATGCCATGGAAATTATTGAGTCCACGTCCACATCCACGCAGTCGCCGTCGACCAGCAGCAGCAGTTCAAGTAGCAGTAGCAGTAGTAGCACGTCTACAGCCGGACCATCTAGTAGCACGAGCACTCTGCCGGCTTCGAGCACCGAATCGTCATCGCCATCGACTTCAACATCTGCATCGCAACCTACAACCACATCGACAACCAATTCTCCCACAACGGACAAGCCTTCTGGCAACAGCTCTTGTAGCTTGAGTTCCAAATACGTTCTAATTGTTTTACTTTTATCTAAAATAGTGACATTTTTATACCCACAATAGAGTGGGTATAACCACTAAAAAGCTAACAACTTGATGCCGAGTTCCCACGACCTTGCGTCTTATATGTAACCGTTAAATTAGTGCTAATCTAAGAAATTCTCGGCTAATTTTATAGCTAGCTATAATTTACGATAAGTTGGCCAACACACATAACACGGTTTACGATGCCAATCAAAGTTCGGGCGTGGAAATTACCCAACTCTATGTATAGTATATGATCGGCCTAGTGGGGCTGGACAGAAGAAAAGACATTAAATATATCTATAATACCAAACAAAAACTTAAGCTCAAGCAAAATGTAGAACACTGCAATCTTATGGCTATAACATATGATTCGGTATTCCATTTATGAACACAGTGTAATACTTAATTTCTCTATGAACTATCAGCTGTCGGCGTATCAATATTCAATACGCGAATAATGTATTAAAGGTTTTAGAGTTCGCAGCTTTTATGAATATACGATGGGAGCTTATCTACGCATTTGTTGCTAGCGCGTAATGGGCTCTACTTGTCCGATAACTTCCCTTGTAGCTCGTATGTACCTACACATTTCAGTGGCCTTTTCGGCACCTGTTATATATAGCAGTAGAAATTTGCTTTATCTCGAACATATGGTGGTTGCTATATGGCTCATAGTCTTGTTGCCAATATAAAGCAATAACTTCGACACCACTCCGATAGGATAGACGAGCGATAATGGACTGATCGATCCATAATTCTATAAAAGGCCCAACAATCGCGGTCAACGAATTAGTTGCCCCAATTTTGTGTTGGTAAAACGCGTCGGGCAGAAAATAAATAATCGAAATGGATTGGTCAGCAGCAGGAGTGACGCTGCTAGCTCTCATATTATGTGCAAATAATCCCACTGGTAGGTGGTGTCATAAGTGCCTAAAAGTGCAGTTAGATGTGCAAAAGGATAATAATTTATAAATATAAGTATTACTCAAAAATTAAACCTGCAGTGACAAAATATGGTTCTTAATTAAAGCGTCAAGTGCGAAACAATGAAATGCCCGTCGCCATAAACTTTCAGCCAAATGTGCAGTGAACAGTTATTAAATGCCCGGAAATAATTTTCAAATGAGTCGTCATTGGTGTAATTACAAACAATAAAGACGTTTACAGCTTTATCACAAGTATAAGTAAACATAATAAAATACTGTTTATTCAAGGAAAATACTGTAATGACTGAATAAATAAGCCCTCAGCGGCTTTTCTACAAATTTTCTAAGTCGATGATATCATTTACGTATGCAGCTACTTTATAGCGCTCTTCAAAAATAAAAGATAATGTTTATATAACAAGATACACCACATAAGTGTTAATGCCACTTCAATTTGTATATCCAAACGGTGAAAAAAAATTTACTATACGAGGCAACTTAAGTACTAACCCACGGAGTTTCTGAGAATGATAAAAAAAATAAGAACGGAAACTAAAAAGGCCGCTCTGGCAAAAACAGTCTGGATTATGTGGATATTAACTAATATTGCAATTAAATATTCAAGCCTTAACCTACAAAAAGTGCAAAAGTGGAAACACCAATCGCAGAAAACTTCTGCAACATACTTGTATAACTGTACTACGAATATAAATGTATTATTCAAAAACAGTGCGAGTGTTATAAATAATATTGAGAAATGAACCAAAAAAATCACAAGCCAAATAGCAAGTCGTTTATATGTCGTAATATCCCAGATCGGTTCGTCGATGTTTTTTTACTTTTTAGCACTAATGGGTGTGAAATATTATATGCAATTTTCACTTACCCATAAGTTCCAAAGGTTATACATATTAGTCCACTTTCATAGGTATTTGTAATATTTCCAAATCTCTGGAACGAGTACAATAATTTTAGGTAAAAATAAATTATGGCATTCCTATCAGATTTTAATTTATTTGGTCAATGACGCACGTCGCATGATCGCATACTCAATTATATAACACTACCTCCTATAAAGCGGATATTAATTTATTGTCCCAATCGTGCCGAGTTTTTAGTCGTTAGAGGACCAAGTACGACCATAAATAACAATAGATTTCGATTGAACGGCATGCTACGCTAGATTAATGGGTACATTCTAACAACAATTAAAGATTATTTTGCCGGGATTTAACTTAAACTGAACATGAAAACTCACAACAAATCATAACTAAAACATCGGAATGTTAAATATCGGCCAACTTAATACAATCTAGTACGTATAATAAGAAATCTATACTTCAACTTAAAGCTTTTACAAGAGCTAGGAAGCTGAAATGTTGACTCGAGTATCCTTTCATAGTGTTGGTGAGCACTATTATAAGCGATTTTTTTTTTAAATTTAAACCGCAAAGGGAGAAAACGGGCTCCAAATCTGCTTCTTTATGCGATTATTTTTAATCTGGGTGTATAAACTCTCTAAAAACACGAATAAAGTGCATACTTAAAAATTAAAAACAGTACAAGTTTTATATTCCTGAACGATAAAATGCATCCCCAGCTTTTGGATTTTTTACGAATGCATACCATCCATAATACGCCAGTATTATACATATTTTTGGAAAAGTATAATGTAGGAACTTTTTAAGTATCACCCAGCTATGGATTAGTCAATCTCTAATGGATTGTTAGCACCTATCTGTAGGTGATGGTGAGAATGAAACAAAGCCTTCTTCAAAAACGGTCTTTTTTTTGTTCACCGACATCCACAGGAACGGCTTCTGAGCACATTTGGCACAACGGACCGATAAACTGTTACACCTGCTCTAGTTTGGAAAGTTGCTCAGCCAGTTTGGGCGCGATCCTCAAGTGCGAAGGTAGCAGTACTCAAGGCTGTGTGGCCGTCTTTAATGCCAACGGCGTGGTTATTCAACGTGGTTGCAGCGAAGCTCTGGAGGATACATGCAGCGAGGGGAGCAACAACTGCTACGAATGTCGCTCCAATGGCTGCAATAATCTCTCCGACAACAGCAAGTTGATTCAATGTGTCTCCTGCGATGCACAAAACGATGACGCGTGCGTCTTCGACATTGAGTTGATTACGGAGAGGCGCCAATGCCATGAGCACTGCATGACAGCCTTGTACCCACGCACCAGCGACCAAGGGGGGCCACTGGAGCTGGTACGCAGCTGTTTGGATGACTTGGATCTGGACGACCGCGAGAACTGCGCCGATAGCACAGCACCCAACTGCGTGGCCTGCAGCTCGGCAGGATGCAACACCGTGGAGCTGGGCGTCCGTCGCAGCTGCAATCGATGCACGAATGGTGAATGCTCCAATCCGCAGCCGCAAACTTGCCGTGCAGTCGTCCCTACTGGCTACGAGGAGACATGCTTTATCGAGGTGGATGAATTGGACAATGTTACTGAAATGGGCTGCAGCAGCCAGTACAATGTGCCTGATCTGGATGCGTTGATAGCCAATAAGCGCTTGTGGCTGTGTAGCTCAGACAACTGCAACGTACAGTCGGCACTTCCTGCACCTCAGAGTTGCAAGCTGTGCAGTTCTCGCACGGATCCCAGTTGTGCCTTGGCACCGGAAGAGGTGAGCTCAGAGGACAACTGCAATCAGGTGGTTAACACAGACTGCTATGTACGATTGCTGGACAGTGGCCATACCGAACGTGGTTGTGTCTCGCGTCTAGAGGCGGACGACTATGTGGAATGCTGGAGTGGCAGCAACGACACCAGATGCAGCACATGCTCAGGCAACAACTGTAATGAGCAGGTGAGTAGGTGAATAGCCATTGCAGCCAAAATTAATTCGAGATCAAATATTTCGATCATATTGAAGTATATCACAGGAATATAACCGTTTGCGGGAGGTGAGAAATGTAACAGGCAGAATGAGGCGTGCAGACCCCACAAACTATACATATTCCTAGCCAGCATGACAAGACGAGTCGATCTAGCCTTGTCCACGAGTTTGCAGTGTTTATTTTATTTTTTTGATGCACCCCTCCGATCCCCAGTTATTAGGGATTTTTGCTAACGCCGTTCTTATATATCGGAGAGCGAGAGAGTCCGCAAGACTAGTTTGTTTCAAAATGTTCCTACTTGGCCTCGTTCCGTGTCAATTAGTGATTTTCCACAACTCCCGTACTTCTTGGAAGTTTCAACTTAAATTTGGCAAATACCTCCAGTTAGTGAATATCTTTCCGGATACTTTACTTTCATACTTTCATCAAAATCATTTGAAAGGAAGTTATAGTCATAAGTGTAATCACTACTTCACACACAGACTGGCATAGTCATAGGTACAGAATATTTCAAAGTCGGTGCACCCGACCTTAACTCTTCCACTTGTGTAATAGAAGCATTATTCAAAGGAATTTCGTGCTGAACGAGTTTTTAATGTTAAATGTTTATTGTTTGATACATCATGATTAATAATGTGATTGATTAACTTATACGACTGCAAACAGGGTATTAAGTATTTTTAGAAAAAAAAAAAAAAATACAAAATTGCTTGTCATCATTTTTCAGTTGCATCCCGCCGACCGCTTAGCCTGCCACGTGTGTAGCTCCAGCGATGATGCAAGCTGCGAGTCTGTGCCCGCCTCTACATCTATCTGCCTGTTGCACCTGGCTGAGCAGCAATGTGTCAGCAGCATTGATGCAGATGGAAACACTCAACGTGGCTGCAGTGGATCCCTGACCTGTGATATCAGTGATCGTCAGCACTGTCAGTTCTGCAACGGAACCGACTGCAATACGGACAACTTGAAGCGTCGCGCCGACGGACAGCCAGGCCTATGGGGACAAACCTTACCACTGAGCTGTCAGATTTGCAATAGTGTGGAGGACTGCGCATCCAATGATGGAAGGGCTGTGTGCCTCGAAAGCACAGAATACTGTATGACCGTGTTCGATGGTACTGGGGTGGTGCAGGCTCGTGGCTGCAGCAACGAGATAGAAGAAGCCCACAGCGCCTATTGCGATGCTAATCCGGGCAGTTGTCACAACTGCAACTCCCAAGACTGTAATGGGGCCACATCATTGAGCGCCTATGAAGAGTGCATCTATTGCGATTCTGTACGCAACCCTAACTGCGCCCAAAACCCCTCAGCCGTCACTGAACGGCGCCAATGCAACAGACAGTGCATGACAGCGTGGCGTCCGCGATCTGGCGAGAACATCAGCCCCATTTACGACACTGTACGCAGCTGTCTGGATGACAAGGATCCAGCTGATCAGGCGAGCTGCAGTGCCGGCAACGACTTGGAATGTCGGGCCTGTACGGGAGCCGCATGTAATACGGAACAACTTCCTGAATCTACACTCAGCTGCTACAGCTGCGAAGGAGATGCGTGCATGGAGCCAAGCATAGCCGAATGCCAACACAACTCGCCCGCGGATAAGTGTTATATATTGTTCGACACTGAAGCCGATGTGAAGAGCATGGGCTGCTATTCCGATTTGGATGCGTCTTTCGTAGAAACTAACATTCATTTATTACTCTTCTGCGACAGTGGCAACAATTGTAACTTCTTCGATATCATTCCCGAATCTAAGACCTGTCGGGTCTGCAATTCCATTGCCGACGAGAATTGTGCCGTGGATCCAGCTCTTGTACAGCAAACCGACACCTGCACTCTGGCGCCTCACACAAATTGTGTGACATTCCTGAACACAGCAAGTAAATAGAAAGTATTTTAGTTCAATTTCAATACCATTTGATTTTGAATCTACGTGATAAGTAATGTACTCGAAAATGCATATTAACCAATAATTAGTTACTATTTTAACTATGATATTTCCGTTAAATCCGATATTAAAAATAAGCTAACAATTGAAAACCGTTTCTAGACAAACTTGTCTCTCAGTTCTAAAGCTATAATGACTATATATTTTGTCTCGGAAGCTATAAGTACTAGGGACACCAAATTTTATGTAAATACGCAGGTTATAGCCATAAATTTAATCTTTGGTCAAGCGCTTATGCTTACACACAGACACGAATAAACACGCATAGACATGCATAGGCACAATTCCTACGTATAATGTGCAATTATACAACCTTTACGTGAGTACGCGTGCGAATACCAAGCGAGGCCAAATCAATCGAAATGTTTTTATTAATTTTATTAATTTCTATAATTAATCTACACATACTATACATATGTACAGAATATTTCTAAGTCGGAACACCCGACCATTTCCGTATTTATCCCAACCAAAACCACTTTTGTCTATCAAATTCACTATTTGTTTATAAATTAGTGGATCAGCGAATATGTAAATTAAGAAATTGCGCACCATATTTGTTCCAGAATGTTGGATTTCGGATCCCTTAGGTCAATTTTGGTAACCATAATCCCAAATACATTCTTCTTCTTATACCATCTGCGGTGCCTTTTTCGCTGATTATACTCTGTACATAAAATGTACAAGAGTATATTAGATTTGCGCGAGTTGAAAAATATTATGGGCAGTTCATTTAAGTTAGAAAGGAGATAAAATCCATAAAAATGTTTTCAAGTTTTTGGAATATTATTCTTTTAAACATACGTGTATCTACAGAGTATGTCAGGACACCCGACTTTAGCTGCTCCACTTGTTTCAATTTAATAATGCATTTAATTAATACACCTAACACACACAATAAAACCAAATGCACCTGAAAGATGCAAACTAAAAAAAAGGGTAAACTTTTAGTGCTTTTATCTCCTTAACTACAGTTCCGATTGCTTGATTTGGTAAGATTTTCTAAATCTCTGGGCAATTTCCTATTAGACACGTATGTTTATAGACCCCACAGCGTTCGGAAAATTTTAGATTTTTGCCATCTGCTTCGGTCCGAAGCTTACGTATGTTTATATTGAATAGCGCATGTACTTTAAGAAGATCCTTTAAGACCCGCATATATATATATATATATATATATATATATATATATATATATTGGTATTATATTTCCACAGATGGCTCTACACAGCGCGGCTGCCTGAGCGACCTGTCCACAACTAATATGAGGGCCTGTCTTCTGGGCACCAACAACTGCTCCATTTGCGAGGGGGAAATGTGCAACGTTGAGATCTACCCCGCCGATCGACGTCGTTGCCATCGCTGCAACTCCCGGACGGATCCCAGTTGTGAGTCGTCACCATCTGCGGCAAGTGTTTGTCCTCGATACCGGGAGGATCAAGGCTGCAGTGCCAAACTGGTCAACTCTGTCACGTATCGTGGATGTGAAACAGAGTTTACCTGTGACGATTCCGACAAACAACACTGCCGCAACTGTGCGACTGGCGACAACTGTAATGTTGCGAATCTGTTTGAGACGAACATTGGCTATCCGGGAAAATGGCAGACTCCGCCCATTAATTGTTACACCTGTGAGGGTACAGCCTGTCAAGGTGACAGTCTGGGTTCGCTGCAAAAGTGCGCCGGCAACGACGCCCAAAACTGTGCAACTATTTTCGCCTCTAATGGGTCCGTGGTGCTTCGCGGTTGTTCCGACCTTGTTTACAACGCAGTTGATTGGTTACAATATTGCGATGAGTCACCAGAATCCTGCAAATTCTGCAAGTCCACAGGATGCAACAACGCTCGAGAGCTGGACGCATATGAAAATTGTCGTATCTGTGATGGACAGGAGCAGGACGCCTGTGTGACCAACGCTGAGGATGTCAGCCGAACGACCTCTTGTCAAGGTGGCTGCTTCACGGGCCTTTATCCACGCAACAACTCGGAGGCTAATAAAGCATTTGAGCTAAGCCGTGGCTGTCTGGATGACTTAGAACTCGACGATCGGGTGGAGTGCCAGGCAAACGAGAAGAATCATTGTGTTGCCTGTACAGGCGCTGAATGCAACGTACATGCAGTACCAGAGACACGACTTAGATGTAACTATTGCTCCGATGTCGGATGCGAGACTGTCCAGTCACAAGTGTGTACGGCCTATCGTGAACAGGATCAGTGCTACATTCATGTTGGGGACTTACGTATCGAAAGCATGGGCTGTGCCAGTGATTTGGAGGAATACTTCCTGCTGAAAAATCGTCGTGATTTGCAATTATGCAATGGCGACAATTGCAATGATAAAGAATCCCTCAATACTCAAGGAATCAGTTGCAACTACTGTAACTCTTCGGTGGACGCGTCTTGTGTTGGTGGCAATGCTATAGCAGCTGTTGTTTGCCAGCACTATCTCAATCCGGAGTGCATCACCCATATTACCGAAGGTATGTTTTATAAATTAGTTAGTGTGTATTGAATGGATTACCTGGTTTGATCTTCTACTTTATTAGTTCATTGAGTGTTGACTAACCTACATTTTCGTACTTTTACATAGTTAAACACAAAGAGAATAGTCTGGTGTAATTTCGAGAAAACCGAGACAGCGATCTTCGTCTATTTGGATTTGGGGACGCAAGATTTAATTAGATATTTCACTTAAAAAATAGCCTCTTTTGTACATACATTGATGAAAGCAGCATTAAAAGATAATTACTTGCTTATTGATCGGCCGTTTCAGAGTATCATAATAAAGCGATGCAAGATATCAATCAATCTATCAACAAGATTTCACATTTTTTAAAGAACAACTTACAATGAGTGATGCTGTTTTTAAGTCACCTTTAATTTTTTGAACTGCTCTAAGCTCTGTCCTAATCTTACAATAATTTGAAATCTGTACACCCAAAGTATGGAAGGGTTTATACTTGAATGTAAACGTATTAGTCGGCGCTACATCACTTTTTCACTATAGCTCGTAATACATATTCGGTTAATACCTTACGACTAATTTTTGATTCTATTCGTTGTAGGTGGAGTTCTAGTTCGTGGATGTCTTATGGACGCGGACGATAATCTTTACGATGACTGTTTGAGCGGCGAGAGTGAGACTTGCAAGGTTTGCAATGAGAACAACTGCAACAAGGACATCTTTCCGGAGGATTGGCACACCTGTGTACGATGTGATTCAAACAGCGACATCGAGTGCGAAAAGAACCCCGATCTAGAACTATATGGAAGCTATTGCCCAAGTTATTCACCAAACGAGGCTTGTGTCACGCGCATAGAAAAAACCCGGACACGTCGTGGGTGCCTTTCGGAGCTAAGCTGCGATGCTTCGGAAACGTCTACCTGTCGTATTTGCGATGAGAACAACTGCAATGTGATTAATCTGCTTGCCAACTATGTGGGTGATCCAGGCCAATGGACAGATCTGCCACTGAGCTGCTATGTGTGCGATGATGAGGAAAGCTGTGCAGTCATCGACGGCAGCGGGGTAGAAACCTGCGAGGGCAATAACAAGCAAGTGTGCTCAACCATATTTGGTGCCAATGGAAATGTCATAGCGCGTGGTTGCAGCGATACCGTAGAAGCTAAGCATGCCGACTACTGCGATGCTAATATGGCGAGCTGTTTCAAGTGCAAATCGAATGAGTGCAACAACGCCGTTAGCACGGATAATTACATTGAGTGCTTCTTCTGTGATTCGCACGAGGATCCTAACTGTGTGCTCCAAACACCTTCTCAGGAGACCACACGTACGCGTCAATGTCATGGTCAGTGCATGCAGGGACTGTACCCACGTAGCTCTGCTCTGGACTCGGCCCTGATTCCAGCACGTGGCTGCCTTGACGATTTAAATGCATCGGATCGTGAATTGTGCATTGCTGGTGACCACCCTAACTGTGTTTCCTGCAGCGACGCTCTTTGCAACAACAAGGATCCTGTGGAGGAGCCCCATGCTTGCTTCACCTGTGTGCCAAATACCGATTGCGTAGATATAGCAAGCGAACGTTGCGTGGCCTATCGACCAAACGATCAATGTTATCTGGCCTTTGATGACCTTGGCATAGTTGCTATGGGCTGTTCTAGCGAGTTTGAGACTCAGGTCACCAACGAACTCGTGGCACAGCAGAAACTGTTGTTATGTGATGAGAAGAACTGCAATATACCCAGCATCATACCCGATCCCAACACCTGCTCATCGTGCAGCTCTGAGGATGACGCCCGTTGTGCCACCAATCCCAACCAGATACTAGAAGACATAACCTGCTCGAATCAGCCTTATACTCAGTGTGTCACCCGCATTAATAATCAGGGAACCACAGTACGTGGCTGTCTTTCGTCACTAAACAGCTCCGACTTCTATAATTGTTTGACTGGCACCGATGAACTGTGTGAGATTTGCGAAGGCGATCGCTGCAATGGGTTAAGCGTGTTCCCAGCCAATCGTCGCAAATGCCACCAATGCGACAGTTCCACTGATTCTGCGTGTGCTGCAAGCCCAAGCAGCAGTCGTGCTTGTCCGATCTTTGTTCTTGATGACACTTGCGTCACCACACAACGTGGAGATGTGACCTATCGCGGCTGCGGCTCCAGCCTATCCTGCGATAATGCCAGCGATAGTCGCTCCTGTCGTATCTGTAGCAGTGACTCTTGCAACACCATTAATCTCGAGCAGCTCAATGCAGATGGTAGTCCTGGTATTTGGCAGGACGTGCCCATCAGTTGTCTTAGCTGTAGCGGCAGCGAATCATGTGCAACTGGCGGAGGTCAGCCACAGACTTGCGAAGGATACCAGAATTGCATCACAGTTTTTGATGAGGAAGGCGTGGTTATTCAACGTGGTTGCAGTGCTCAAGTACTGGAAACTGCGACGCAATGTGAAGATGATACCGCGCAATGTCCGCGCTGCAACTCCAACAATTGCAATGTGGCCGATAGCCTCGAGGAGTATGTGGAGTGCTTGGTGTGCGATTCCAGCACGGAAAGCGCTTGTGTGCAACAGGTGGATGGACTGAGTAAGATACGCCGCTGCCACGAACAATGCATGACCGCTCTACGTCCAATCTTTGGCGAGACCAACGATGCCTTTGCAACTGTACGCAATTGCTACGATGACATGGAAAAGGATGATCGCGAAGCATGTGCTGCGGGCACCAAAGACAACTGTGTGACCTGTGCCGAGGGCCGATGCAATTCGCAGGAGCTAGTGGAGTCGCGTCACAGTTGTTTCATTTGCACTGGAGATGACTGCCAGTCACCTCAGGCCAATGTTTGTCCCAATTACCGCGAAGATGATCAATGTTACATAGAGTTTAATGAGCGAGGTGGCGTTGTCGGATTGGGCTGTCTTAGTCAGTACAGCCATGCAGACATCCTCGCTCTGCAGCGTTCCAAGAGATTACTACTCTGCCAGGGAACCGATTGTAATACGTTAGATTCCATCCCTGAAGCGCAAACGTGCACTCTTTGCAGCTCACGCACGGATAAAAATTGTGCCACCAGTCCTAGCAGTGTGATTAGTGAAACCACATGTGACCTTATCGGCCTGCCCGAGTGTTATTCACGCGTGCTTGATGATGGTTCGACGGAGCGCGGTTGTTTGTCTAACCTAGAAGATGACGAGTTCCTCGATTGCTACAACGGCTTGGCTGACACATGCGATGCTTGCCGAGGCAATGCGTGCAACAAGGAAATCTATCCCGAAAATCGTGCCTCTTGCCAAATTTGCGACTCCCAGAGCAACGCCCTTTGCGAGTCTGCTCCAAATAGTCTCTCCGTATGCCCAATATATGTAGAGGGCGATACCTGTGTAACTAACTATCGTAGTGGGGTCACATATCGTGCCTGTTCCTCCTCACTCAGCTGCGACGAGAACTCAAGCGACTGTGTTAAGTGTGTTGGTGATGGCTGCAATACTGTGGATCTGGCGGTAAAACATGATGACAATCATGGCAAATGGCAAGATCTTCCGCTTACATGTTTAAGTTGCCAAGGCGCTGAGAACTGCGTGGAACCCAGCAGCAGCCTGCAGTGCCAGGACAACAATGAGCAGGATTGTATTACAGTATTTAATGGAGACGGAGTGGTTGTGGCACGCGGCTGTGCCGATTCTCTCGAGACAGAGTGCGCAGCCAACGGTGCAACATGTCACAACTGCAAATCTAATGAATGCAACAACGCTAACGCCCTTAGCGAGTTTGAAGAGTGTATATACTGTGACTCGTTCAAGGATGACAGCTGTTTGTTGTTGCCGGAGAGTTCGTTACATAAGACACGTCTCTGCCACGGTGGCTGCATGACCGCTCTCTATGGAAGCGCCGATGCAGGTCAGGAAATTATTCGCACCTGTCTCAATGACAAAGAAGAGAAAGACGCAAATGAATGCCAGGCTGGAAGTGATGCCAATTGCGTGGCCTGCACTGGTGCCAAATGCAATGTGGATACTGTACCAGAGGACCGCATGAGCTGCTACATTTGCGAAGGTGACGACTGTGAAGTACCTGTGACGAAGTCTTGCCCCATTTACAAGCAAAACGACAAATGCTTCATATGGGTGGATGAAGATAATAGCATCAAGCAGCTAGGTTGTCTGAGCTCTTTCCGCAATCAGGATCTGGAAAGTGTTATCAAGACAAAGCGCATAGCCGTATGCGACGGCGAAAACTGCAACGTTCCGCAGCTACAAGTGCCAACCACGTGCGCGGTCTGCGACTCCAGGGATAATGTGCTATGTGCGACCAACGCAGTGGCCATTGACCAGTTTGATATTTGTACTCAAATGCCGCACACCGGATGTGTAAGCCGAATTGCGAGCGGTGAGCTATTATTAATTATTCTATTCAAATGCTACGATTATCAGAAACTTTATTTGAAATATTTGGGGTTTTTCCTTTCTTATAGATGGCTCCACTAATCGCGGTTGCCTCTACGATCTAGAGCCAACAGAGTTTGCCGCTTGTCTATTGGGCACTGACGAAAACTGTTCAGTGTGTAATGAAAATGGATGTAATCGAGAGGTAATAATATGTACAGTTTTTATACCGTCTACGGAAAAAATAAGATGAAAGAATTTGAAGGTCTAACATGAGGGCATCGCTGCACTCGTATGTAAAAGGCAGAAGAATGCATATTTGGTCCGTCTTCAAAAACAACTCAGACCAAAACTTGGAACATACTTGTATATAGACTAAATCTTTAAATTCAATTTTCATCCAAGTAGTTGGTTCTATAAAAAATAACTTTCTTGACTACTACTGGAATACAATTTCCTCTAATATTGATAATATCCTCCAACTTTGAATGCATTCTATGCTTGCAGATTTTCCCCGCCGATCGACTCCAATGTTTCACCTGTAGTTCAGAGGATGACGTCAACTGTGAGTCTTATCCCATACGCAAAGAAGCATGTGCCTGGGTGAGCGACAGCGAGAGCTGCTTCACACACCTAGCCGACAACGTCACCGCACGAGGTTGTAGTTCAAGTCTACAGTGCGATACGGACGATTTCAGAAACTGTCGATCCTGCGTAAACAACGAATGCAATGGCATCGATCTGGCCAATCGTGTGGATGATGGCTCGCACGGTCTCTTCCAGCCTCTCCCACTCAGCTGTCATGTATGCTCGGGAGATCACTGTCTAAGCTCATTAGGTCCAGCGGTTAAGTGTACGCGCAATGATGAACAGGATTGCAAGACTGTCTTTGAAAAGGATGGGCAAACAGTGCTTCGGCGCGGCTGCGCCGAAGATGTTGATGATTATGAGGACCTATACTGCCGTCAGAATCCTGACCTGTGTTTCTCCTGCAAGTCCAACGAATGCAACTCGGCTTGGAGCATTAGTGAATACGTAACCTGTGCCTTCTGCAACTCGGAGACTGATCCGCTGTGCGTGACCAATCCAGAAGATGCTGGCTTTGCCTCGCGTCAGTGTCAGGGCCAGTGCATGGTCGCCCTCGTAGGGGATGAAGTCGTACGGACCTGCCTCGATGACAAAGAGGAGTACGACCGAAATGTTTGTAGCACTGATTCCACCGGCACCAACTGCGCCCGCTGCACTGGTGAACAGTGTAATAAATTTGCATATCCCAAAGATCGCTTACGATGCCACGTATGCACTGGAGACACTTGCTCTAGCACGACGGCTGAGTACTGCCGTGTGTACAATGAATCAGACTCTTGCATTGCCAAGTACCAAGAAGGCAACTTGCAAATAATGGGCTGTGCCAGTGATCAGAGCCCCTCGGACCTTAACCAGTGGCGCCAAGATAAACTATTGTACGAGTGCGAGGAGAATGAATGCAATGATTTAAATCGGTTGCCGCAAAATGAAAACTGCTTGGATTGCGACTCGAGCAAGAATCCAGATTGTGCACAAGACCCCACAAATGTCACCACCACCGAGCTATGTAACGCGCCACAAAGCGAATGTGTGACGCTAATCAGTGGAGGTGGGTCCTTTAACTTACTTTGTATATGCCTTTCTGCACAAAATGTGATTTACCATCCTAGATAGCTTATTGAACAAGTGGCAGCCAATTCTAACTTATAAGTAATTAGCTCCCACTTAAATACCTAAAAAAGTTGTATTGTATTAGCCACAGATCCTGAATGTTATTCTCGTAAGACCAACAAATACGAGCATTAAACCTAAAACTCTTTTCTTTGCAGACGGTCACACCATTCGCGGTTGTCTCGGCCATCTGAGCAGTGAGGAAAGCTCCTGTGTGGCCAACGGCACGTGCGCTGCCTGTGCCGGCCAAAAGTGCAATCTTGAGGTATTTCCGGTCGGTCGACAACAATGCCATATTTGCAATTCCGTGGCCGATAGCAACTGCGTGAAGGATCCGAATCATTTGCAAGTGTGCCCCATTTATGTCAACGGTGATAGCTGTGTGACCAAATATGGAAATGACGGTTATCTGGAACGTGGCTGCGTTAGCGATATCCAATGTGAAGGCAGCAAGAAGTGTGAGATTTGCGAGTCAGCTGGATGCAATACGGTGGATTTGACAGATGGAGCAGTACAGCTTAGCTCCACCGGTCTGGTATTGACGCTTGCGATAGCCATACTCGTTAGCAGATTGAGATTCAGCTTGTAAACAGCGCTCCCAATGCATAATATGTCATTCCATGTGTTACATTTAAAAACGCGCCATAATAGTTAAGTAGTTGTACGTAGAGTGTATATAAATGTAATTTCTAGCCGAAAAGGGTGAAATTAAAAAATAATGAAAGAAAACGCTTTTTCTAAAGACAATCTCCTATTACTTAGTTGTTTGCAAATGTGAGATGAGCATTCAAGATATTATTAACATTTGGTACAAGGTACGAGGGTAATATGAAGTCCTTGTTAAGGTATACATTGGTCAATATAAACAGATGGACTATTTGAAAATGAAAACAGTTGATTGCCTTCCCAAAACCTGAACAACTATTTTTTGCCCATTTAACAACAATGGAATTTTTAAAGGTATAAAGGAAAAAGGATGAGAAATCATAATCATTTTCCACGCACTTCCCAAATAGGGGCTCCAGTGGTTGACTCGTATACTTTGGTCGATTCAGCAACGATTTATCTACCAGACAGGAATTAAATTGTCCTATCACCATGAAACTCGAAATGAACAGTTTAAAATTGTCAAAGCTACAACTTGCAGCAATTTAATACCAATTTTGAATTAATAAAATTTTAATTAAAAGCGTGTATACTCAAAAAAATTTTAATATTTGCAAGATTTAAATGGTTTTACGACCGGTTTATAAGCACAGTGTGTTTTAGTACATAGATGCATACTTCGATTTTGATTTTAATATTTAAATATTGAACTAAAAGTATGATGATTTCTATTCATAGGCATTTGGATTGATTCATGCCAAAAGTTTAATTTTTATAATTAAAAAATATTTTCACATTTTTTTGTTTACACTATTATTTTTTGAAGGAACAACTGATTGAATACACTTACTTGACACATTCTTAACGACCATGTAAGTCAAGTGCTTTCACTTCGTACTTTTAAATCCCAGTCGCTGAAAACCGGCTTAGGAATTCCAATCAATTATTTTATAATCAAAAAAATTAAATTAACTATTAACCAGAAAGGAATATGTATGTGGGAGTGGCCCACGAAAAAGGAAAAAATAAAAAAATATATTTTTAAAAAATTAAATTGGGCAGAGATTGCATTTATGGCTATAATTTCCTTTCAAATTGGTCTTCCATTATGAAACTTGGCATACGGACACTAATTCACTAACTATTATATATACCTCCATATAACAAAATTTGAGTCAAAAATTCCAAAAATTACAAGAGTTATGGAAAATCATTAATAGCTGGGGAATGTATCAGAAAAAAACTCGACTGATCTAGAATATATATATGCATACTTTGTGGGGTCGGAGTGTAACATACATTCGAGAAAAATGTTGAAATTTCCTATTGAATATAGAAAATTTAACCATTTGTTAAGCCCTAAATTATAACACACTTTAATGGCAAAGATTTACACTTCATTTTAAATATTATTATAGTAATGGAATAAATTTTAGTTAAATTTACGTTGTTTTTATTTGATTTATACGAAATATTGAGTTGGAGTGTTGAGTTAAGCTTAATGGGCCATAACGGCCAAAGCCCAACAACAAAGGTTTCTTTGCTTTCGGTCCAAATGTTTTAAACGAAATCATAAATGGTATTATATATACATCAAGTATTTTATATATTAATTAAAGAAGAACCGAAGGAATTAATATACTCAGATATGTACATATATGAATGCAGCATAAATTCTGCAGAGGTATATATTTATACACATAAATGCAATTTAAGCAAGCGTAGTCGCCCAAAATCAGCAAAACAAATATGAAACAAATTAAGCGAAGCGCCGGGTATGTTGTGGAAAGGAAATCGGAGGCAGTGCAGCTTAATGAACGGCAACAAATTGAAAATGAAGACTGTCTGTCGACCTGTCTCCCTTCCTTCCCCCTCTCTCTCTCATATGCCGTTAACATACTTTAACGATTTTCCACGTGTGGCCCACATACTGTTGATTTTTCAAACCAACACAAAAGGTCGAGTTGAGCAATTATGCATATGAATGGTTGCTGCGCAGGTCTCAGGTGTGAGGCCTGATAGCTCTGGTGTACTATACGTAGCTCTGCAGTCGTGTTAATTAAATTACTGCCTGCGGCTGATTCTTTACGAACGCGTGCAACTGGAAGCCAGGTGGCGTACCAGTCGTATGACTGATGCGGAACATATAGATTTGAAAAATGTGAGCTTCTTCATGTGTGGCATAAACTTTTTATATGTATAGTACAGGGTGCGCCATCTTTTATGTCGGTATGTAGATATTGAATAACTTTGTCATTAGTGAACCGATTGACTTGAGTAGACCAGTGTTGAAAACCTCAGTTCAAGAAATTGTACAGAACCAAATTAAATAAAAATTAAAAAATTAAAAACTAAAATGGAGTTGTGTAGACAATTTATAGGAACTAACATAAAACCAAATTAAATTAAAATCTTCTGTGTCAGTAAATTAACAGTATTGATAATTAAGTAAAATTAAACACGTTGTTGTTTACTCATAAGGGATCAAAGCTTCGGCACATACATACTACAAGTATGTATGTATATGTACAAGTATAAGTACTTTACATAAATGTTATCAGCATCCTTTAGACAATATCGTAAGTATTTCATAGTTTACTTTAAAAGAACTCCATGTCAGCTGGAACAATCGATGTTGGGGTACCACCTTTTCATTATAGCTTTCAAAATGTCAAAGATCTGGTAATTTAATGGAAATTTTTTTATTATTTATAGCCTCTACCCAAAGGGTGAAAGGCTATACTAGTTTTGTGCACATGTATGTAACACACAGAAGGAGGGGTGGCAGACCCCACAAAGTATATATATTCTTGATCAGGATGAGAAGCCGAGTCGATATAGCCTTATCCGTCCGTCCGTCTGTCCGTATGAACGCAAGGATCTCAGAAAGTATAAGAGCTAGAATAACCAAACTTGGTTTCCATATTGTCATAAGACCGAGAAAGTACGAGTTTGAGTTTTTTTTTCGATGCACCCCCCCACTCCCCCGCAATTCGTGTTTTTTCTTATAACTTCCGTAATTCTCGGAATTTTGAAATCAATTTTGGTAGGTACATCCAGTTAGTACTAATGTGTCCGTATGCCATCATCATGATAGGTCAATTCTGAAGAAAGTTATAGCCATAAGTAAAATCGCTGCTAATGCGCTGCCTGCAGCTCTGTCGGCAGCGCTGCCCGCAGCTGTTGTTGTTGTTGCTGCTTTGGTTCAACTTTGTGCTGCATACATACACGCATATAAACACGTATAGGTACGTGATGTAAATGTATGCGGTTAAAACTGAACATAAACATGTATTCTAATTTAATTTAATTAATTAATTCATTAACTTTTTTTAATAATTTTATTTTTATTTTTTTTTAATTTTTTTTTTTAATTTTTCTTTTTTGTGAAGAGTACAGGCTATTTTACTGTCGGGCTTGCTCGACTGTAGCGTTCTATCTTGTTTTAGTATAAGCTTGATGGTATTTATGCTTCTGATCTAGTTTCCTTGTTTTTTTTAGGTCTATTAAATAAGCTTGAAATACTTGTCGCACTTCATATTGTAGATAAATACAAATGTCCTCACAACAAAAAACTTTTAGCATGAAAAAAATTGGTCGATAAAAATTATTTTCTAGTGAACAAGCGATTTAAGACAATAACTTTGTGTTTACAATACCCAGCAACACTCGTATGAAGAAATCGTTGCTCTGAATATATGAAAAAGTGAAATCTCAATATATTTTTGGTAGATAGTACTAAACATTAAATTGTTTATACTATCACTAGTTGGTGCTCATTTTATCTTACGTAGTAATTTGGCATCAAATTGTTCGCTTAATTGTCACCATAAATCTCAACGTATATATTTTATGGCCTCAAGTCCACTAAATGACCAACCACAGCAATTAAAACGCAATCAAATGACAAGTATGAAACTTTCGGGGCGATAAACGCAAGCGTCATGGATAGACAACAAATTGTCAGTCGGCTAATCTTGATGGCAATTTAAACAAGAAAAACTGTTCTCTAGATTTCCCACATCTACACGCTCTATACGAATATATATATTGTATGTATAGTACATACATATATAAACTAGATATGTTGTATGTTTCTGTGAGCATTTATTTGTTTGCCGTTGCAGCAGCTTTATTAAAAGTTAAAACAGATTCGTCTCCCTCTCTTTTCGAGTATCAAAGTTAAACCCCAAGCAACGAAATTTGCATTTAATTTCCAATGACTGCATTTGGCGATTTCTTCAACTTTGAAGCATGAGTAGAGGTTTCCCTTTTCAAATTTGTTGAAGCAAAAAATCTAGTACCTTGAGTTACACTCTCTGCCTTAAGTTGGTATCAGCTTTTTCAAGCTCGGTCCCTGAAAATGGATTTACGAACTTAGTAATAATGATTATAGTTTATTTAATTCATTTCAAGCCTAAAAGCTATTTGTGTAGAACTTAAAGTTGTGGGTAGCAGCCAGGTGCAGGGTTTCTTTTTTGGAACTATTTAATAACTGTTATTGATTAGTCGACATTAACGGCATAGCATTCCCCCATTAAAAATGAGTTGAAAATTTTTATTGTATACTTGTATAGAAAATATTCAAATAATAGAACTTTGAAATGTTAGCTTAAAATTGAATAGATTATTTTTCGCCTTTACTGATTTTGCAGTATTCATTTAAAATTAGGAGCTGATTTCGGGCAATTTATTTTTTTTTTTTTTTTATGATGAAATATCGGCCGCTTGATATTTATGTACACAAAAATTTCACGCAAATGTCCGCAATGTATTTTATATTCAATAGTTCACTGACCAAACGGCGCCAACTAGACGCCACAAATGCGCAGAAAAATGCTAAAAAATTATTAAATGATGCCAACTAAATGTAAATGGGCTGCAATGCAAACTGCAAACTGTTGTATTAGTTTTTTGTATCTTTTTTTTTGGCATGATAACCGAGATATATGTATACTTGTATATTGCTTGGATTTAATTTTAGAGAAAGTCTTAGCCAATTAAACAAAATATTTGCCAATTTTAAAATAGTTAAATAAACACAGATTGAATGCAATGCGCGTCCATAAATCATTCAAGTAAATCCCTATAACAAATTTTATGCATGCAAATCAATTGTTCAA